TTGACAAAGTTTAATCACCCAAAGTCCATAGTTTACAATACAGTTTACTCCTGGTGTTTGGTTCTGTACATTTTGTGGGTCTGGAAAAATGTATGATGAATGATATGTATTCATCATTATAGTATTATTACACAGAGTATTTTCACTGCTTAAAAATCCTGTGCTCAACCTATTCATCTTCCACCCCCACCCCCAACAACCACTGTCATTTTTACTCTTTCCAGAGTTTTGCCTTTACAAGACTATCAATCACATAGTTGGAATCACACAGTATGTAGCCTTTTCAGGTTGACTTTTTCCACTTAGTAATATGCATTTAAGTTTCCTTCATATCTTTTCATGGCTTGGTAGCTCATTTCTTTTTAGCTCTGAGTAATGTTCTATTACCTGGATGTACTACAGATTATTTAGCAGCAATTCAGCCTCTAAAGGACATCTTCGTTTATTCCAAATTTTGGCAGTTATGAATAAAGCTGCTATAAACGTCCATGTGCGGGTTTTTGTATTGACGTAAGTTTTCAGTTCCTTTGGGTAAATACCAAGGAGCACAACTGCTGGGTCATATGGTAAGAAAACGTTTAATTTCGTAAGAAACTAAGTGGCTCTGCCAGTTTGCATTTCTACCAGCAAAGAATAGAGTTCCTGTTGCTCCACATCCTTGCTAGCATCTGGTATTGTCAGTGTTCTAAATTTTGGTCATTCTAATAGGTGCGTAGTGGTATCTCACTTTAATTTGCACTGCCCTTTATAGTAAGTATTGAAGTGGGTGTGCTGGTTTTCCAACTTTGTTCTTCTCGTTCGATGCTCTGTTGGCTATTCTAAGTCTTGTACCTCTCCATCCCTGTACTTTCTTATCAACTTGCATAGTGCTGTGCTTATTGTAGGCACATAACTGCTTGCACCCATGTTGCACGCATGATGTGGTTTACCCACAGATACATGTAATACTGATTAATTTTACGTTTACTCAGTGAAGGCTTATAAATACATGCTATGTGAATATACTGCAATTACATACAAATTAGATATCCATATATTTGTATTTGTACATATATACATACAGACATACACAAATATACATGCTAACAATTCTTAATTTGCATATTTAAATTATGTTAATATAATGCGCTTAGTAAATCTGGAGTAAACTTTAATGGACACCTTTGAAATCAATTTTTGCTTTAGTCTCTCAATCTCCATAGACTCTTGGGGACTGACATTTTGTAAACTACGTATTTCACTTTGCACTTTTATAAGATAAGAGCTGTAAAATTACTTGTCAATATATTGGAGGCATGGTATAATGTTAGATTGAGTCAGAATGTCTTTCTTCAACTTATTTTGGGCTTTCTAAAACAATAAGTTATTTTTAGAAATCCTCATTAGTTACTATCAGTCTGATTTCTCTACTTACTTTCAACCTTACGTGAAACGAGGTTTCATTTTAAATCTAACTTTATTTTACATTAATTCAGTATGTAGAACCTCTGGTCCAGACAGACTCCTCAATGTTCCATAAACATATGTTTATATTTTACCCTTTTCTCTTATTTAGATGTTTTTTTCTTCCATTGTTTTTCCTTACTTAAATCTCAAATGTCGTTCTAAGTACAAATCAAGTACATTGCACTCCAACAACATTAGTTGCATTACTTCTGAAAAATAATTTTTCCATATTCAGAAAATTCAGTACCATATTAAAAGGGCTTACATTTTATGAGAATTCAGACATGCTCAAAGAAGAATCTGATTTCATGCTGACTATGCACTATTACAGAGGTACGTGAATTCTTAATCCCTGGCTAACTTTGAAAATGGAGTATGAAGTACAGAGATGATGAGAAGAAGGCAAATGGAAACCTGAATTAGGTACATAGTGAGCAATGATCAGTCAATAAATGGCTCTTGAATGAATGAATAAATAAGAAGAACTAGATTATGTTCTATTATTAACTACGCTACACATTTTAGCACATGGAAACATAGAAGGCAATACGGTGCTGGGTTTGGAATAAGAAAAGGTGAATTCAAGTTGCTGCTTTCCCTTGCTAAGTTTTTTGTGCCAAAGGCAAGTTAAATAAACTCTCCAAGTCTCATTTATATTAGCTATCAAAGAAAAATAATCATTATAAATAAGAAAAGATAATTGAAAGAAATTGGTTAAGCTATAAATTGCTAGGGCAATGGAATTGTTATTATTGTAATGCATCCTTTATTTTAAGTATTAAATAGAAAATTAATTGAGAAAATCAAAACTATTTAAGGAAATCAAATATTTTGTCTAAATACTGTCTAAATGAGGCAGTTTCTTGGCATAGTCATTTTATAAATGGCACATTGCTTAAAAAGAATATGACCTCTTTCATTTCTATTCAAATCATAAGATAGAATAGAAAATTAGGTAGCAGGAGACTGCCTTGACTTCCTCTAAGAGAACAATAAGACCTAAAAGGAAATGGATAGAAAACTTAGGATAATTCTCCAAGAAACGACAGTATTGCTTGAGACAGGTGGCAGGCGGTAAGTACGCTGGTTCTGTTATTATTTGGCACACAGAAAAGGAAGACTCTGAGGTTGTTTAGAATTATGCAACAGTAACAAAACATACAACAATAACAAACAATATAAATAATAAGGACTATTCTTAAAACCCTTACTTATTGCTGGGCAATATATCACATACTTTACCTTTATTTTTTCTTATTTCTTCTTAAAACTCTATGAGATAGACATTATATTCGTGTTTTACAGATAGTAAACTCATTCTTAGAGGTGAAGTAATTTACCCGAGCTCACACAACTTACATGTGATGGCGGCATGGGGATTTTAAACCTGAATTTATCTGATTCTAAAGAATACATGTTATAAATATCATATCAACATTGAAAGCGAAATATCTAGCAAAGTTCAAAGGCTGAAAGAGTTTTATAGCTGCAGTCTATAAACTACTCTTTAGATCTGGCTTGCAAAACTAAAAGAAGTATTTTGGCTTTAATAAGGTGACAAGATTTTGAGAGAGAGAAAGCTGAAGGAAAAAGAGCTTTCGAAATACCAAGGCTAGAAGTGGTTGGCCCAAGGTCAAGGAGGCCTAGGACCCAAGGGCTTTGACAGTTAGAACATTTCTATGGATAATAGGCTATGTCAAGTTTTTTTAGTCAAGTAACTACCAAGACTAAGTTTCTTTTAAGCTGAGCTAGTTAGCCCATGTGACTCACCTCAACTGATTCTTCTTTTACAGGTATGTGTAAGTGGCCATTACAAAAAATATTTACTAAACACTAACTTTGTGCCAGATATTGTTCTAAATATGCTGCATGTGATCCTAAAACAACTCTACAAGTGAGCTATCAGTCCCATTTTACGGATGAGGACATTAAGTCATGATACAAAATCTAGCAAATTGATATCACAGCTCACACTCTTTACCATTATATTACGTGGATGTTACACTAAACTAGTACCAACAATAATTTGGGTAAGTAGAATTTATTCATACTCATTCTGTTATTTAATAAAAACTCTATTTTTCTAAACTGGCTTAGCTTAAATTGTCGCTTAGTGAACAGAATTAGTGATTAGTAATGTTTGCAATAATGTCATTTATTGACAACTAATTGAAATTACAGTGAGAATAGCCTAAGTTTCCTAAAGAATAGCCTACAGTTTTCTAGAGAAAGGGTTAAGAAATGAACTCTTTGTAATGATCTTCTATACTCTCAGATCTATGATTCAATGTTACGGAGTGAAAGATGAAACTTGAGCATTTCAAGATAGTTGCTGACTTAGTGAGTTATTTATTTTTTAACACTCAGATGGTACATTACGAACAGAAGCTTTGATATTCTGTAAAGCAACAGGGCCATTTTTTTTTATTTGGTTTGTTTCTTTTTACCTACACTGCTCCAAAGTGATATCATATGAGTTTGAAGTATGCAATGCTTACGATGGATACGGCATTATTCATTACTATGTATGGCACAGATTGTTTTTTCTGAAATGTAATCTACATACTGAAAGTTGTTGTAATTAACATATTATGTTGATGTAGAAAATTTATATTAGAGGAATAATTTTACTTAAGTGAATGAACCTAAAATATTTCTTAACCATATTGATTTCAGCAACCTTTCATGACCAGATTCTATAATCAAGTAAGGAAAATTCAAGTACTCTAAGAACTTTGAAGCCTGGGAAATATTTTTAAATTTAAACACATTAAAAGTATAACTTTAAAACAAAATTAAAATTTATCAAAATGAACTTGCATGTATTAAGGGATTTAAATGACTGGAATCTAATAATGCCAGGTACCTGGATGAAAAGTGAAGTCAGAGAACCATTTTGAAGTTTTCATTTATCTGAAGAACACCCTATGGATTGTTGAATTTTTCACATTAAATCAAATACTGACTTTGTGTGTGTATAACTATAATATCAATGAGTAAGAAATCTTTTTCAAGAATAACTGATACTTAAAATGAAGTATAAGTTAATGTGTGGACTTTTGATTTTCTTTATATTTTGGGGAAATTAACAAAATATGATATTACATAAAACATCTTTTATATTAATATACCATAACACTTCAGAAGATATTTCAAAATCTCTAGGGTGTAAGTTAAATGAAGAATTTGAAAAAAATTAGGCTATATTACTTCTAAATACCCTAAGATATAGATATTTTTTAATGTTTACATTCTTTTCAGAGTTAATAACTGCAGTGCAATTCCTGTTGAAACCATGATATATAGAATTATATTACCAAATTAAAGGTAATAGATGTGATAGGCTTACAAATGTAAAAAGCCATCATTAATAAATACAAACTGTCATCTATTCAGTGGAAATAGTTTTTAAGAGCATGGTTTGACAGTATAATGTTATTATCTAAAATCTGCTGTTTCTAAAAGTTTCTTTCAAAACCTAACTTTACCCACAGTATTTATTAAATCAATGACAAAAGGCCAAAATCCACTACTTTGATATATAAATCCAACTTTTTACAATTAGCCTCAACAAATTCTTTTAGAGGGAAATGATCAAAGAATTCAGTATAACCCATGGGGGGTTGGGAGAGCAGACCACTGAGTCACAGAATATAATTAAAATAAAAACCGATGCTGTTAATTTTAGAAATAATTTAATTCTGTTTATAGCAAAAGAAGACATTTAATGAAAGAGAAAATTCAAATGCATATTTTTGGGCAGTTCTGGTTGCTGGCATCCTACCCCTTATCTGTAAAAGAATGCTTGCTGGCATTAGGTTCCATCAATTCATTTGTGATTTCTAAATTAATTCTGAAGGAAACCACAACTTACTTGAAGATCCTGCTGAGCGTCTGTGTGCCTGATTTTTTTTTCTTTCTTCACAGACAAAGCACTTCCACTGGTCATGGAAAAAAGGTCTAAATCCGTGTCTTCTCTGCTTACAAGTCTTGCCTGGGAGCAATGGGAGAGAATGTATACAATCATGAAACAAAATATGGCATTTTCTGAATGCTGCTCACATTACCCCAAATAAACAAACAGGCTCTGTCAAACAACCTTCTTCAAAATGATACCACAATCCTTTATTGCTGCCCAGGCAGAACAAATGCACTATGTCAAAGCATTTTTTGCAAATAAGAGCCGATTTTAAAATTGAGGTTTGCTATTTGAGTCTGCACAACAAAAGAAAACATTTTAGTACAGTAATTTTGATGAAAATCAATCTTAAAGGCAACTGATGAAACTTTAAATCGCTTAACATCACTTATTTACCAAGGATATTATTTAATTCTTAGTTGAATGTTAGAAAGGTCACATTGGATTATTTTCTGCAATATTTATATTTTACCATTTATAAAATTCCCTGAAATGCCTTTCATCCCATATTTATATATTAAAAAAGTCACAAAAGATCTCTACCTTCTCATTAAGGTTATTATTAATATAAAAATACTATACATTAAGCCTAATTTGGGAGTAAGGATAAATACAGAGAAATTTCAAGATATTTTATTTTAAGGACATAAGTATTAAGTAATTTATTTCATCTAAAATTATTCTCTGAACTTTTATTACTACCTGGGACTGAACTGAAGAGTTGAAAGATCATCACTTCTTGCTTATAAAATATTGTTTTACATAATGTCTAATATCACTAAGTAAGGATTTCTTAGGATTCAACCCTGAGGTGGGACAAAATGCCATGATGGAAAGCAAAGCAGCCTCAGAGTAGCTGGGAGTTCACCCAACGCACACTATGCTTGCAATCCCGTGAGAAAGTATTGTCCTTAATGTCCTTCTACGATCAGCTACAAAGACTCATGAAACCAGAATCTAACGATCACCATCCTCTTTCAAATTCACATTTTTTGTTTTTCTCTTTTACATCTCCCTCCCCACCTCCTTCCCACCCACTCAAATGAACTCCTTGCTAAGTAAGCAAGCTTGCTATTACTGAACTCAGAATAGAAATGAAAACCTAGACATTTCATAAAGGGGCTCATTAAAGGTCCAGTAGTGCATCTGACACAGCAAGTTATTGCAAAAGTATTGCAAATTATTATGAGAATTCCACATCATTGTTTGTACCACTTCTAGATATATGAGTGCTTTTAAAATATTTTTATTTCGGTTACAGAAAGGTGAGGTATACATAATAGATTACAGAGCTATAATTTACGGGTAATGAAATATATAGAACTTAAACATGAAGTTTAATCATTTTCAAAATTTTTATCCTGAAGCAATTTACAACTCCTATAGAAGCTGCAGAAATTGGTACTGAGAGTTCCCTGTTTACTCTTCATACAGCTTGTCCCAGTGATATGTGATATCTTATATAACCAAAGTACAATTAATAAAACTAGGAAATTTAGTGCAATCCCATACTAAACCACAGATCTTATTCATCAGTTTTCATATGCACTATTTTTTTGGTTTGTTTATGTTTCTATGACATTTTATCACATGTATAAATCCATGTAACTACCATCACAATCAGAATAGACAGTTGTTCCCCCTTCCCAAAGAAACTCCTTTGCTCTCCCTTTAGAGTCATACTTTCTCCTCAACCTAATTACTGGCAACCACTAATATATTTCTTGTCACTATAATTGAACAATTTTGAGAATGTTATGTAAATGAAATAATATACTAATACCCTTGTGAAATTGTCTTTTTTTCACTCAGCATAATGCTCTTGAGATCCATCTAAGTCTTTGTGTGTATTGAAAGTTTGTTCTTATTTATTGCTTTTTATTCATTTTCATTGTGTATTCATTGCATGTATGGACCATCATTTGTTTATCCTTTAACTCACTAAATGAGATTTGGGTTGGTTCCAGTTTTGGGCTATTACAAATAAAGCCACTATGAACATTTATGTATAGGTTTTTGATTGAACTTAACTTCATTTCTCTAGGAAAAATGCTCAGAAGCAAAACTGTTCAGTCAAAAAAGTGTATGTTTAACTTTATTAGAAATTGACACATTTTTTTCCAGTGGCTGAACCATTCTCAGTAGCAATGTATGAGAGATCCAGTTGCTCCATATATTTGCCAGCACTTGGTATTGTCAGCATTTTATTTTAACCACTCCAATAGGTGTATCATGGTATTATATAGTAGCTTTAACAATCTCCCTAGTGATTAATGATTTTAACATCTTTTGATGTGCTTCTTTCTATCTGAATATTATCTTTAGTGATCTAGTAGTCAAGCCCTTTGCTCATTTTTAAATTCCACTGTTCAGTTCAATTATTTATACAAATGATTTCTACAATGGTTAATTTTATGTGTCAACCTGATCAGGCCACAGGGTGCCCAGATATTTGGTTAAATATTATTTCTGGGTGTACCCTGTGAGTGTGTTTCTGGTTGAGATTTGCGTGTGAATCTGCAGACTGAGTACACCAGATTACCCTCCCCAGTGTGGTTGGCCATCTAATCCACTTAGGGCCTGAACAGAACAAAAAGGTAAAGGAAGGAAGAATTCGCTCTCTTGACATAGATCTTCTCCTGTCTTTGGAACTCATACAATCGGCACTCCTGGTTCTCAGGTCTCAGACTGAATGGAACTTACACTAGCAGCCCTCTGATTCTCAGGCCTTCAAGATTTGGACTAGAACCTACATCACTAAGCTCTCCTGGGTCTGTAGCTTGTAGGCAGCGGATCATGGGACTGCTCTGCCTCCATAATCAAATGAACCAATTCCTTATAATAAATATTTCCTTATACTAAATGAATAAATATATCTATAAAATCTCTAAAAAATCTCTATAGATATATTACATATATAACCATTTTAGTGCTGTGTAGTAGTACCTTGTTTTAATTTAAAGTGTTTATTAATCATTAAAATATCTTCCTTTGTGAAGTCTCTTAAATCTTTTGCCACTTTTTTATAACTTTTTTTATAATTTTTATAACTTTCCTGATTGCAGGAGGGTTGTGAGAGAGGGGAAACAAAGAGAGGAAAGGGAGAGGGAGAGGGAAAAGGAGAGAGAGAGGAAGAGAGAGAGAATTTTCCTCCCAGGATGTGGTGTGACTTTTCATTTCTTCTCATTTTCTGAATGGTGTCTTTCTAAGTGCAAATGCTTTTAAATTTGATGAAGTACAATTTATCCATTTCTTTTTTGATTTTTGCTTTTTATTTTTCATCTGAGAAATCTTTGCCTGCTCCAGGTTTGTGAAAATACCATACTATATTTTCTTTGTGAAGTTTTATAATTTGTGCCTTTACATTGAGGCCCATGATTCATCTCAAATTCATTTTTAAGTTAGATGTGAAGTAGGAGTCAAGATTTTTTTTTTCCATGTAGCTATCCACTTGTCCAGCACCATTTGTTGAAATTTTCCATCTTTCAATTGCTTTAGTACCTTTAAGGAAATCAATTAACCTTTTAAGAATGGTATTCCTCTGGACTGTCTCTTCCTTTCCATTGCTTGTTCTTTCTTTGTGAACATAACATACAACCTTGATTACTGAGGTTTTAAAGGAAGTCTTGAAAATAGTGTGAGTCCTATTACTATTTTTTTCAATACATTTTAAAATTTGTCCATCTCTACTAAAAAGCTTTCTGAAAGTTTATTGAATTTATAGCTAATTTGGGAAGAACTGACATCTCACAATTTCAGTCTCCTTATCTATAAATATGGTATATCTCTTTGATTTTGTTTTTAAACAATATTTGATACTTATCATAGGGGTCCTGCACATCTTAATGTTAACATTTGTTAAATATTTTGTATTTTAAAAATTGTGATGAATACAAATGTTTCTTAAGTTAAAATTTTCCAAAATTGTTGCTAATATATGATTATAATGCTAATTTATGTATGTGCATATTTATATTTATTATATATATTTATATTTATTATAAATAAATAAATAAATAAATAAATATACACACACACACACACACACACACGTATGTATCCTCCAAGAATGGGCTTGAAGAGTAACAGGGCATACAATGACCAACTTTAATAAACAATGACAGATTTCTTTCCAGAATGACTGTGCCAAGCTTCTGTTTTCACCAGTTGGACATCAGTGTCTCTACATTGTTGACAGCACTTTGCAATCACCAATTTTCTAATTTTTGCCATTCTGATGAATATAGTCGTATAACTTCTTATTTTTATTTTTTATTACTTTGGTCCAACACTTCAAGTTTCCTACTCTTGGTCTTCCATGATCTCAGTATCCTTTTAGCATAAATCCTTGATCCATTCCCCTGTCTTGACTCAAGAAAAAAAATGTGTATTTCTGTTCTACTACTATTTACCTTGTTTTATGTTCAGCTATATCTCTTCAATATGGAAAAAATAAGCATTTATCATTGCTATGTATTTGTTGCACATTTGTATGTAGTATAATATGGTGGGATACAGAGGGAGGAAATTAATGTCAGAGCATTAGCCTCATAGAACCATTTTGATTAGTTATCTACCTAATTGGTTTTAATTCATTTTTTAGAAGTATAATAATTAAATGTAATATCTCTTCCTTTATCCTGGTGTTCCTTGGCACTTGTATATTCCCCATGGGTGCTCAAAAGTGGCTGCTCAACAACCTGTACAAAAGTGTTACTCAGTAATATGTAGGATGTTAATAGCCTGAAGTACCAATTCTCCTAGGGTTATCTGCATGCCACTCTATCAGAGGGGTCTCTATTAAAATGCAAGAAAATATTTGCTGAGTGATTATTTCAAATTTGTGCATATATCCTATAGATATTTTCATAAACATAGTAATTTTAGTTACTGCCCTAATTTTTCTCCTCTTTCAGGAAAACTCCTTGAATTAGTTATACATGAGAATGAACAATAGTAGTTTCCAATAGAAAGTACATTATCTTTTTATACTAACTTCTATATCACAAGCTAAATTATAATCAGTTTTCTTGGTGAATGTAGAATCTGAGCAAGAAGTATTGGTTGGCTGATGTAAATGAAAGGTGTCATAAAGTTAGGGTCACCTGATGCATCCATTTTTCACCTGCCAAGGAGGCCACACACTTCTTTCATTGGCTAGGGTAACTTCTTCTCTTGAAATTTCTGGAAACACATAGAAAATTTCTTGTTTTGAGGGGCTCTGTATTTCTAGACTCGACATTGGCCATCTTCCTTCTGTTACCATAGTCTTCTAACATCATATGGTACAATTGACTTCGGCAGTGCATGTACAGTTATACTGTCTAGAGTCTACACTCTGGTCACCGTGCTTAGAGCTTAGTAGTTCCTCAAGTTCCAATAATTTGTACTTTATTATTTAGGGTGGCTGAGTTCACAATTACTTGTTAATTTTTATCCAGTTTGATTATCTGAGGGTACTTTGCTGTTTCCTTCAAGTGTCCTACTCTTCTGAAGTATTCAAGAAAATAGTTTCATTCTTATCTAGTGTTTTTTAAAAATATGGTAGCATGCTAATATTTAAAAATCTGCCCTATAGAATTAATATTTTAAAGTAATATATTTTAACATTATATTACAAGTCAATTAAATATATTATTTTAATATATAACATTTTGAGATTAACCCCCAAAAGATATAGTTGGAATATTTTCATAATTTATGCTACTTATGGACATATTTTGAAGTGCCATTTATGGAGTATGGGTGCCTATAACATTTTTCTGTAACTTTAAACACATTTCTTACCACAAGCTGAACTCTTCCACCATTAAGTACATCTGGATCTAACTCAGGCAAGAAGTGATTGCTGCATAGTGACAAAAACAGAAATCATATTATTACAGAAATGTAGAGGAAAAATATGAAAGACATGCCAAATGAAAAGTCTGAGAGAAATCAGTAACTATAAATACTTTATTACATGTACTTATATATCTCACTTATGGGAAAGGCTAAGCTTCCTATTTTAAAATAGCTTTAGTGTGTTTAATGCACTATACTAATGCCCACAATTAACTTCTGTTTACAATTAGAACACTAATATTGAGCTTTTCAAAAACTTGTTTTTCTTAAAAATTATTACTTATTAAATATTCCTTTATATATTATGTTTTCAAAACAGAAAAAAATCCATCAATAATTGCCTACTGCATTATATGTTTAAATATAACTTATTTAGGAGTAAAGGATATTTTAAATGCTTAAGCATGTCTAAAATACATCCTGAAACATTTTGCTTATATTTTTCATTATCTATACAGATACTTTAAAATCTCTGAAACAGACCTTTTATATCTGGTTAATATACATGGTAATCAGCTATGAGTTATACTATGTTTGTTTATAGTTCTAGGAATGCCATCTTATGAATTACACTAAATTGATTATTACCAACAAAATAATTATGTTTGCATTACATAAAATACTTAGCAAAATAAATAATTCTCAAATGTTAATCACTATATTCCTACTTTGATCACAATGAAATAGGACATAATAACCTAGATTATGAAATACTATTTTAATTTCACTTTCATTCTTCATTTTTTTCCATATATTTAAAGAAATTACATGGATAGAATTGATCACATATGAAGATTTCAATTATTATTAAAAAAAAGTTTCTTTTTTATACATTATAACTTGCTGCTAAGTTAAGTTTTAACCCTCGTAATTGTTGGATTTGTTTGTCACTAATTTAAATAGTTATTACCCACAATGCCTGGAAACATTTCCAAAGCGTCATCTACATTTAGATTCAATATTGGTTTATCAATTTAATAAATGCTTATAGTAGCACATTTAAAAAAACTGTTTTGTGGATATATATAGCTAAAATTAAAGTCTTAAAAATTTATATCAAAAATATTATCTCTGGATTTTTATTTCCTTAAAACTTCGATTCAATGGTTAAACACATATATGCTTTATGTTACATTATTTGGGCTGAATTTTATTTCCTCAAATTTTATATGTTCAAATCCTAATATTCAATCCCTCAGAATATGACCTTAGTGAAGATGGGGCCTTGAAAGAGGTAATTAAGGTAAAATGAGGTCATGGGGTGGGCCCTAATCCAATATAAGTGGTGTCATTGTAAGAAAAAGAGATTAGAACACAGATAACACAGACTCGGAGGGATAATCACAGGAGGCTGAGACAGGAGGGAAGCGGGCAGGGCACAACCACTGAAGGAATGACACAGCTATTGACCAGGACGCACTGGTTAGAACCAAGATGGTGGAAGATTCGACTTCCAGTAGATCTTGAGCCTCATGGCACACCCACAGGCACCATGACAGTTCCTAGGCTCACCATAAAAGGTCAAAAAGTGGGGGAGGGCTTAATTCCTGGAGATCCTTGCCCCTTTCCCAAAGTTGTTGGAATAATCCTTTGACTCATTAGCATATGAAATTACAGAGCTCATAAAAACTAACAACTCTGCACCTCATAGTCACTCTCTCTCTTGCCTTCTGGGATGGCCCTCACTCTGTCTATGGAGTGTGTATCTACTTTAAACTAAACACCCCCCCAAGCTGTGTCCTCTCTCCCTCTCCCTTTTGAGATGGCCTGCATTCTGCTTATGAAGTGTGGATCTCTTAAGTTGCTTTTCCTTCTGAGTGAGATGGACCACACTCTGTCTATCTGTATCTCTCTTAACAAACTTGCTTTCACTTTACTAAGCCTTGCCCTTCAATTCTTTCCTGCACGAGGCAAGAACCTATTCTCTGGCAACAAGGACACAATGAGAAAGTGGCCATCTGCAAGTCAAGGAGACAGACCTCCAAAGAAACCAAACTTGCTGACTCCTTGATCTGGGACTTACAGCCTCCAGAACTGTGAGAAAACAGATCTCTGCTTTTTAAGACATCCAACCTGTGGTATTTTGTTATGGCAGTCCTAGAAAATTAATGCATATATTAATGAAACAAAAGGTTATTACCTATTAGGTTCAAGGCCTTGTTTGTTGCTAAGGGATTTAAATTTTTGATAGCCTCAACCTAGTGAGCTCACCTCTATCCTGTGAAATAAGTAAGATTTATCATCTCACCATAAAGAAGAGGAAACTCAAGCATGGAGACATTGAAAATTAGTTACAAGACTGGTTAAGTGGCAGCATCAGGGCTGAATTGTTATTTTAACTGCCAAACACAGATGGTAACAAAGTAACAGAAAATAATATACTATAACTTTCAATACCTGTGATATTTATAAACAGTTAATGAGTACCATACATTTACTTTATGAAGCAGAATCATTTGTGTGGTTCATCTGTCGACTGTAAGTACTGTAGAAACAAAAGTTCTCAAATTTATTAGGGTAAAAAATATAAAGAGTGATTAAACCTATTCTATACAAGAGGTCTTTTTATAATCTGCAATATGGTATATTGGCCTTTGGCTGTATAAAGTCATGATTGTTTTAGCACAATTAACCTAGGTTTCACTTTTCAAGATGTGTTTACAATACAAAAATCTAATTTAAAGGAAATGATCTCACCATTTCATATTTCTGGAACTAGTTTTTTCTTGAACCCCAACCTGTGTATGAAGCCATTGGTATGTATATTCTTTACTCCTTTCTAATTTTTCATTTGTGGTGGTATCCTTATACTGTAATTCTTCTTCCTTACCTAGAGGGAAAAAATGAAAATTTTATTTGTTATTTAAAGAGATCAAATTTTGGCCAAGCAATTCACTCTAGGCTAACAATTTTATCACAGGAAAGAAAAAAGCAAAATAATTTAATTCATAGGAGCTAAATCACCTCTAAGAAAAATAATGCCAGTCACTTATAAATTAAGTACTTTTCCTGCTTGAGTTTCAAACCTACCTATTTTGAAATATAAAAGAGATGTTTTAATACAACCAACATTTTATAGGGTTTGTTTTCTCATTTTTTTAATTAGAAAATACAAAGAATTATTTTTGAGAGACAGTAGAATTTAAAGTCTAATTGTTCTCATATTATCTTATCCATATGTAGAATTTATAAATTCTATTGAAGATATCTGAAACAGAATTTTAAGTAAAACTAAGCTTGGCTTGTGTAAGCTAATACATTTAAGTTAGGAGTATCATTTATATCACGTGTAGGAAACCTATGTGAATGCCACAGCAGCTACTTCAAAGATGGAAGGGGAACAGCGTAACAGAGAAAATGGGTCCATGGAAAACATGCAGGAGGAGAAATTACACAAGGTAAGAATATAAAATAACAAATACAAGGGAACATAAGCTATTAAAAAAAGGAAAAAAACCAACCTTTGTATTTACATTTAAATTTACTATATATATGTTTGTATTTTTCCAAAAACAACAACAACAAAACAACAACAACAACAAGCCTTCAGACATTGCTGCTACATCAATGCCATGCATCTGAGTTACACTGAAGACCTGCTGTTTTAGAGCCTTTCTCCTTGGTCTTGGTTTTTCAGGCCACTTCTTTTTAGGTGCCATCACCATGCTGAGAGATTTCTAGCTTTGTAGACTTGATTGACAGTACACCAGCAAAGGGTATCTCTTGAAACTAACTCATGGTAATCACACTCACAAGAATTCTATAATTTAAAAGCTGGCATTTAAAATGTCAATTTATTAATTTGAACTGTCCTTTCACTGTAAATCTTCGTACAGAGAAAGTCATCTTATACTTGCAAGCTGTTTGGAAAACGAAGCATGGTGCAAAGTCTATTTTGAATGTTTGGTGCGTGTGCACACACATTTAAACAGGTACACACAAGCTTAGTATTTGTCATTCTGAATATATTGAGGAAGGGACATTTATCCCGTCTTATTTTCCTTAAGAGTTGCTGTTTTAATTAGTGAAATTAGTCTATCAATTTCAATCCAAAGAGATATGGGAGCCAATTCTCAGGAAAGCTACGATTTAGGATATTTATTGATCTAAATTATGTTACTTAGTAAAGTTAACTTCCTGTTAACGTGTCATGCCACTTTACGTTTCTAAAACAGTTGTACTTCTTGCATCCTGAGCTTAAGCCAATTCCTCCGTAGTTGCTGTATTAGAGGAAAAATTACTTCACGTTCAAGGGCTGACCACTGAATCCATGAGCAGACAGCATTTTGATAAATGGCATTCCTAATATAGAAACTATAAAAAAGACTCAAAGGGAAGATCTGGCGTTACCACATCCAGTTACTGCAGTGAGGACTAAGCCTCTGTTCCAGCAGAGTCCCAGCCTTTTATCTGCCTTTCTTGGTTGACCAGACCAAATGTTGAACCCATGAGTGCAATGACAGAAAACAAGGAGGAATCAGTGACCCTGATAATCAGCTGAGCCCACGGCTGGAACCTACTTACTCTTGATTTGTAGAAGATCTTTTTGTAACAAATGTACTTTTAGTGAAAAATAAAAATTGTCTCTTTGTCTTAATGTTTTTTAAAATAGTGACATATACTTGAAGTAGTCCCTTTTTAAAACGCTCATTCTGAAAAGTCCCTTTTTAAAACGCTCATTCTGAAAAGCTTCTACAGTAACACTCCATAAACCCTAAGTGGTTTTACATCAGAACTCAGCCAAGATTCTAAACAACAATCCCTGAGTAAAGATTAGAAGATTTGACTGTAAGGGTCCATCAATTCATTTTAAGCTAAAGGCATAGATTGACAGATTGGCATGAGCTCAGTGTAAGAAACAGAAGTATAGTGGTGACACTGGACGGATATACTCAAAGATACTGCAATTCCAACACTGGAGGAAATGATGCTGGCAAGTGATTTTGGCTAAACCATTTCAGGATTACCTCTGTCACTGAGAAGGAGAAAGGAGGATTTACTGTTTGAAGTTTGCTTTTAGCATCTTGTGTAGGAATAATGATGGTGATCTAGATTACTTAACAGACACTTGTCACTTTCTAGTCAGGCTGCCCAATAAATCTTTCCTTTTGGTTTTAGAAGAAGCATCAATTATTCTGCCTGCAAAAAGCAAACCCACTACCTACCTACTGTTCTTTCCTTCTTCTCTGGGTCTTCATTAATTTCTTGTACCATCAACCTAAGGGGAAAAAGTCTCTTTTGGTTCCTTCTGTCCCCTAATTACTGCAGTCTACACGTGCTCCTTTACTTCAATACACAAATTTTAGTAATTTTATTTAAATAAATTAAACTTCTTTGATTATAAAAATAATACATTCTCATAATAGACAATTTAGAAAATACAGAAAACTAAGAAGTCAAAGAAAAGAAAATCCACAAAAGTCTCACTACCTAAAGACAACCACTGGGTAACATTTCTGAGGTATTTCCTAGTAGTTCTTTTTTTCATAGACTTGTTTTGTTTTTTTATTTACATACAATTGTATGT